GATGTAGAACAGTGTTTTTCTGTAGTGTTATGCCACTTGAGCTGATGTCCCCCATCACCATGGTCCTGAACCCAGTGACTCATTCCCTCAGGGTGTTAGGCTGTGGCTAACTTTTCCCTGATAGCTCTATTATATCTATGGACATTCTTATAATATGTACAAATACATATGTTTTAGTATCATCTACCACACTTATATATGGTCATGAGTATATATTCCCTTTTGCTGAGACATACCTGATCATTTAGCCCCTCTACCTATGTATCCACCTAGAGGCTAATATTCGTTATTACTGATAATGCAATATTGTATATGTGAATGTCTTTATCTTTGTTGTCTGTACCTCTTGCGCACCTTTCTGTGTCTTCCTTTTCCTTAGTGTTACTCTGTTGGTCACTCACTTTTGGTATATTGCCTTTCTTTTCACCCAAATCAATACTTGTCTCTTATCTGTCTAACAATTTTCCCTTCCCTCCCTAGTAACCAGCAAAGAAAGTTTTCTATTCTATGTAAACCTTTCCTTGACTTTTTACAATAGTGGACTAATACAATATTTGTCCTTCTGTGATTGACTTATTTTACTCAGCGTAATGTCCTCCAAGTTCATCCATGTTATGCGCTATTTCATGGATTCTGCATTATGTTTTAGTGATGAATAGTATTCTGTTGTGTGTATGTACCATAGTTTAGTTGGGGTGATTGACTTATTTTACTCAGCATAATGTCCTCCAAGTTCATCCATGTTACGCACTATTTCATGGATTCTGCATTATGTTTTAGTGATGAATAGTATTCCATTGTGTGTATGTACCATAGTTTAGTTGGGGTGTGATTCCTGATATCCTGCCTCACTGGTTTATTGTGAAAATCAGATACAACAGTGGCTGCCCCAGGGCTTTGTGGATGGAAACATGGTTGAGATAGGACCAGAAGACAGGTTGTTGAACAAGGCCATCCCAAAGAACTGCTGACCTCTGCAGCTTCCTGGCCATTTCCTTTCCAAATGTCATTTGTTCTGCCTTTGTGAGGTGAGCTCAGCCTGCCTTGGGCCAGGATCAGAGTATCTCTCTAGAATCAGAGAGATGGACCTGGAAGCTCTTGCTTGAGGCAGCTCAGAGACTAGACCAGGGCCTCCTCTTAGGCTTAAAGAGAAGCCATTTCTTCCCTACTCCAAGAGGAACTTGAAGAACAGTAGGATTTGGCTATGACTCCTTCTGCAGGTACTTAGTAACCTCCTCCTTGAGAGATAGCTTGTCACTGTGAAGCTAGAACAATCCAGTTGTGAGTCCCATCTCTGCCTTTTCCTTGCTCTATGACCTCAGGCAGTACCTAACCTGTCTGGGTCTCAGTTTCTATATCTGTAAAATGAGATAATAACACCTACAAAGGTGAGGTCAGAGGAATCCTGTACCCATACCTGAGGTTCCCCACAGTAATGGGCAGGAGACTGTGCAGGGCTGTGGCCCCAGGGGATCCTCAGTACCTTAGAGCCCCCATCAGGAAATCCTTATAACTTCCGTTTCTCAGTAGAACTGGAATCCCAGAGTCTTGGGAGTGGGTGGATAGGAAACTTAGTTGGGAGCCAGAAACTGAGAGTCAGGACACCTAAATTTTAGTTTCAGGTCTGCCTCAGACTTGCTGTTTGTATTAGGGCAGAACACATGCATTTCTAGGATGTTTCCTCAGCTATCAAGCCAAATTACTTGACCCGGAACTAAATTCTAAAATTAATAGTATAAGGGCCATTTCAAGGCAGTGGTAGCAATCTGAATAGCAAGCATTTTCAGCAAGTGTTCTTGTCCCCCAGAGTTCCTTAGTGAGCTAAATGATTAATATCTGAGTTAGCATGAGTGTGGAAGCTTTTCCAGGAGATCTGGTACCCTACAACTCTAGAAATCCTTTATTTGGCTGCATTGCTTTCACCTTGTCCTAACAGATCTGTGGGTTTTTTTTTTTTTTTTTTTTTTTTCTCATTTTCTCTCTTTAAATAATTGTTTCTTTTTAAATTATAAAAGTAAAAATAAAAATCACTATCTGGGTACCTGGAGACCCTCACTGTTGGCATTTTGATCTTTATTCTTTGTCTTTTTTTCTTGAATATATGTATTTGTTTCTGATGGGTCTTATGGTACAGGTTAGAATCATTGAGAACACAATCCTAGCTTGGTGACATAGGTTAAACTCCAAAGTGTTCTAGAGAAGTGGCCTAAACATCCAGCTTTTAGCCCTCTAGGGAGGAGGCATGAGCCCTTCCCAGGACCTCTGGGCAGGGTCTGCTCAGGCCAGGCTGAAATGCAGGAGATGGAGGAAAAATAATAAAACAGAGTTTGCATCTACTTTCAGTTATGCACCAACTATGTCCCTGCTATATGCCAAACACACTTCCTTTGCATACAATTTTATTCAGCAGAATTTGACAAATGTTCATTGAGTGCCTACTACTATGGATGAAGCCTTCTTCTAGGCTTGGGGCACAGAGCAGGGAAAAGATAGACAAGATACCTACCCTAATGGAACTCAAGTTGAGTTAGAAAGAAATACGATATACAAATAAACCATTCAATCAATAAATTAAATAAATATATGAGTATCAAGTCCTGTGAAGAAAAATAAAGCAGAACAATGGGTTAGAGAGTGATTGGGAGGTGGATAGGGAGCTATTATAGTTAGAGCGAGAAGGTAATAGTTGAGAAGGGAGAGAGACTGGTTCAGGCAGATGAAGTTTCAGCTAGTTTGAGAAACTGTAAGGAGGCCAGTATGTCTGGAGCACAAGAAATGAAGTTGGAGAGGCAACAAGGGCCCAGTCTTGTAGGATCTTGTAAGAACTATGGCTTTATTCTAAAAATGGAAAGCCATTGGAAGGTTGAGAACAAGTAGTGACATGATCCAAATTGCACTTTAGGATCTAAAAGGTGAGTGATTATTACCTTTTATGGATGCTCAGATTAACTCATCTGTCTCAGGACCAGTGAATGATGGACCTGGGACTGAACTTAGGTCTGTCTGGCTCCGCCTCCCACTGTGCCACACCACCTCTGATCACTAGGGCTACCTTCATGGAAGTAGAAACTTCCACACACCTGTAGATCCTCCCAAACCCTGTGGGAGACCCGTGAGGCATGAACCCCAGTGGAACAGCTTACTGTCCAGGTTGCTAGCCCCAGATGGCTCTTCAGGACTTCCCCTAAGGGGAGGTTCTCATCAACAGTGCACTGCTCAGTGGCGCCAGCTGCAAAGGAGTGTTGCCTTCTGCTCTCACTGCCTCTGGGGATGGTAATAAAATAAATGGTGCTGGAGATGGTACTTACAGTCCTTCATTTGGGTCTCTGAGGCTGGCCAGAGAGCAACAGCAGAGTGAGATAAAGTTGTCAAGTAGGGAGAGCCTGAGCTCTGGGTCCCAGTTCCATCTCTGTTTCTTGCTTGCCGTATGACCTTATAAAAGTCACATCACTTTCCTGAACCTTGCTTTGCCAATCTACGTAATGGAGATGTGATAGTACTGACTTTGTAGGATTATTGTGAGGAATAAATTATTAATTAGATAATAGTTGAAAAGCTCCTGGGACAGTGAATAATATGTGGTAGGTTTTCCATAGAGAGCAGCTATTATATTTTGCATTAGAACTTCTATAATATTTGAGTGTCTCTTAAAAATACTTCCAACATCATCTCCACATCGTACATCTCAACTTCCTCACCCGTAAAATAGAGATAACACTGACTTCTTCACATAACCTATTTTGAAGATCCTTATAGAAACCTTGTGGGCTTATTATTATTATTATTATTATTATTTTGTAGATGAAGAAAGTGAGAATGAGAGAGGTTAAAATTTTTACCCAAAGTCACAGAGCAACAAAGGGGCTAGAATTCAAGTATTCTGATTCTCAAGACCTGCTCAGTGTCAGTAGGATGGTTCCTACCCTGACTGGGCCCAGAAGTTGGCTTTCTGCAAGTCAGTCCTCCCTCAGGTGTTTCCACAGACTGAAGCCACCACTGACTTGTTAGAAATGATACACTGCAGAGTTCTAAACTGAGGTGGCAGCAGTCCTGTAAGTATCAGAAAACAGGATCCAGTGTGTGTAAATGTGAATGATGTCACTTAGTGGGCATGGCAGAGACCAAAAACAGCAAGTGTGTCTGTCTTCACTCTGGGTTAGAAATAGATTAAATTCACAAAATGTCGCATATCCCTCAGAATGCACTTTGAGAAGACAATCCCCCCTCTGACTTCTGTGGGGCACCATCTTTGCTAATCATTCATCACCCAGGCACCTGTATTACTAAAAGACCACAATACTCAAAATATGGTCCAGGAGCCACACCATCAGCATCAACCTGGGAACTTGGGAGAACTGCATATTCTCAGGCTCCATCCTAACCTACTGACCCAGAATCTGTGTGGGTGGCCTAGCAATTCACAGCTCTCCAGGTGATTTATGATGCCATTGCTTTAGAAAACAGTGGCCAAATATGCTTGATTTGTTTTATTATTATTCTTTTGGGTTAGCAAAGTAACCATCCCTATATTCTGTTAAAAAACAATTATAGGCAGCATCAAGTAGGAGAGAAATCACAGCTTTGGACCAGACAGAAGTCAAATTCCTGCTTTGACCCTTGCTAGCTGGTGACTTTGGCAAATCCTGTTACCTCTCCACATCTCAGCTTCCTCATCTGTAAAATAGGAAAATGCTGCCTTTCTCTCATAGCCTATTTTGAATAATGGATATAACCTTATCTGACACATAATCAGCGATAGCTATGATTTGATGCACCCAACTGTCAGACATCCAGGTTTGTATGGAGAACGTTCCCACCAATGCTCTGTGCCAGGTTTTCCTCTTGGACATGTGGCTTGCACACAAACCCATTGCCTGGAAACTGTGTCCTGCTGGTCTTGGACACATAGCTGCACCAGCCAGCCGATTTGTGTGTTTCTCTACTGCCCCCTTCATCGATGCATGACTCATTGCTTCATTCATGTTTCCATGTGTGCGTAGAAATCTAGGCAAGCAGCCATTCCTAGGGACATTGCAGGACAACCTCATTGAGATGGACATTCTCAGCGCCTCCCGCCATGATGGGGCTTACAGTGACGGGTAGGTGACATCCCCATGCTCCTCCTTACTCTGTGTGTACTCTCCCCACAACTCCTGCGCCTGCATGCAAACCCTGAAGACCTTTCCCTGGGATCTCTTGGGGGAGATAATGCCATATTGCATGCCCATCCCAAAATCCATGTTCACCTTGCAAGAGTTGATCCTTAGAATATTCTGCCCCCAGCATATTAACCACAGTCTTGTTAATATGCAGCTCCTGCCATCTCATTGGCTGCCTTTGCCATTCTGAAAAACATCTCATGTAGCATTTTTTTAAATATATATATAGCACAGGCCCTGGGAATATGTATTCTGTGGCCCGAGGCTTCTTGTATCCCAGTAGGGATAGGGTAACCCTGAAGCTGGAGCTGGGGGAGGGGTGAGACTTTCTAGGCTTTGTGTGCAAATCCTCCTATGGCCATGGTTAAAGCCAACCTGTGGAGGATTTCCTGACACCTGGTTTGGCCACAACCATGTGCACTGACTGTTCCCCACTGCCCTCAAGTCTAACAAGGCTGTAAAATGCAGTGTCCCTCTGCCCTTCCTCGCAGCTCTCACCAGGGGCTCAGAAGTCAGCATTCTGGCTTCTGAGCACAATATTTGAAAGCATGTGCTGCCATTGGCTGTGTAGCAGCCACTGGGGAACTCTTGGCCATGGTGGAGCTTCATGGTAGTGTCTTGGCTCCAACTCCCACAATACCCCCTTTAAAAAAGCGAATATTCCATTCCTCAGTCAAAGTACACTGGCTCAGCACATATTAGAGAGAGAAGGAAATTTTAGGTTCCTTTATCTCCAGGGGACAGAAAAAAATTTGAGATACTTTCCAAGTTGCTACAGTAGTCTTAGAGAACAGGTAGCTTTTCCCCAAGAAGCCCCATCCCTTCCCAGAAAAAGCATCTCAATGCCCACTCAGTGTCAAGTTGGTAACACCTCCTGCCTTGGCTTGGGTGGTTTTCCTCACTGACAGGGCTGCCCCCTTTGTGTTCTGTGAAAATATGTCTTCGTGTGCTCTGTTTTTGTGGTCTAGTAGTTGGTTCTCTTTTTCTCCAACCCTCCTGTCTTCTCTGTGGTGATACTCTCTCTCCAGGCTCCTCTGCATGCTTCTGCTGCTGCTGCCTCTGTCCTCCAGGTTTATCTGGAGTTCCTGGTGATAAGCAGACCTTGATGCTCTCATGCTTCTCTCTACCCACAGGCACTTCCTCTTCAAACCGGGAGGCACCTCCCCGCTCTTCTGCACCACATCACCAGGGTACCCACTGACGTCCAGCACAGTGTACTCTCCTCCACCCCGACCCCTGCCCCGCAGCACCTTCGCCCGGCCAGCCTTTAACCTCAAGAAGCCCTCCAAGTACTGTAACTGGAAGTGTGCAGCCCTGAGCGCCATCGTCATCTCAGCCACACTGGTCATCCTGCTGGCTTACTTTGTGGGTAAGTGCCTCCCTCACCCCAGCTTTCCTTGGCTCCCCTTGGCCCAGAGGGCAGCGATCAAGACACCTGTGGACACCTAAGGCACCTTGTCAGCATGGCAGATAAAGCACACAGGGTGAGCCAAATAGCCCATGGAGTGCTGGAATGGCCTTCACCTCCCAAACTTGTCAAGGGTCAGCCCTTTAGGCCCCGCCTCCCCTCCTGTCTCCATGTTAACGGAGATGTTCTTATAACTGGAAAAGGAAACTAAACATCTGTTCTTCCATGTGTTGGATTGTTGGACACCTAGCACTGAGGCATAAGCACTCACTAGGACTAGGCTTTGAGGTGGAGATGTATGGCAGGCGTACCATAGTTTGGTGTCACTACAAATTAAATGACAAGTTGGAGAGGCTGGGCAGCAGGCAGGCTTCTCTCACTTGTGCCACGTAGCTGCAGTGAGGAAAGGAAAGAGAGAGAATGCCTTGGAATTAGAGGCAAACTGTCAATGACTGGATTGTTCTGACCTCAAGCCAGGAAAGCATATTTGGAAGTGAGGGTCTGCCAAGGTGGTGAAAGGATGTTGGCAGGAACCAAGGTCCAGAGTTAACCTGTGGTCAGGCAACCAAGGAAATCCCCACCTAGGAGGAGCGGTTCCCACTGAGCAATTAGATTTGGGCTGAGGGAAGTGCAGAGACACTAAGAATCACTGACTGGATACTTCTTACCTGATCTAAGAGCACTTCCAATGGATGAGAAACGCCTCTTGCAAAAACAGGATGATTCCCACTGTGCATTCTTTTGATGTATTTGTAACAGCTTGGTTACTTCTGACCTCTTCCTTTGGCCTTCCCCCCAGGGAAGATATTAATCTGAAGAAATCTGTGCATTGTGTAGACTCTGCTACCTTTATGTAAAACAGCATGTTGGTAAAGGCATTCGAAGCGGTTGGCTTCACCCTCCATGTCTTTTCCACTTTCAGATTCTTTGTGGGATTCTAAGATTGAAGGTAGGTCAAAACCAGCCTAAGAAGGCCTTGAAGCTATGCTAAGGAATTCTGAGATAATTCTGTAAGGAAAGGGTTTTTGAGTTGTTTTCAGCATAAGCCCAATAAAATGGAAATAGAACTTACTGGCAGAGAGTCTATGAGGAAAGAACGTCTCCCAATTGTAAAAAAAAGAATGTAGTGGCAAGCGAAGTCATTGTGGAGGAAAAGAGCTGTCTTGAGAGGTAGTGCTTAGTTACTACAAATGATTAATAAAGCATGGATTAATAGAAAGTGGAGAAGGAATTTGAGCAGGGATGAGTGTGAGTGATCTAAACTGTAAGATCACTTCTCTCTCAAGAGTCCTGAATTTTATGAAAACAAGTAATCAGGAAGATGACAGTGCTGCAAATAGGGAGGTCTCCGTAAATATTTCAAACTATAATAAACCTTCTCTGATATGTCAGGTCTCTTTTCCCCTTGTGAAGATTGGTTTATACTATTTCATGGCTCTGAGGCCAGGATGGCACACACATTTCATCTTTTCTTCTATTTGTTTGGTGGTTGCTGTGTAGAATGCTGTTTTGAGGAGGATCCTGAGGCTATATTCAGACTCAGTGGAAAAGAGTCTCTGTGATTGATTAGTGATGTCTGTGGTAGTCACAAGAGTAGAGAATATTGATGCCATGCCAAGTATTTGCGATTCCTGATATATGCATCCTTGAGTAAAAAAACAGCCAAAATGAGTGAGGCTGATGTCTACCAGGCTCTGTGAAAGAAGCGTCATTGACTTGAGAAACAGGTGAGGGTTGTAGGGTTTCAAGTACCATCGCCTGGCATGAAAGTTTGTTTCTGGCCCCACCAATCCTGTGACCCTACCAATCACTGGTACAGGTGTTGCTTTTGACTTGCATTATGTTTCCTAAATGAGCAGACTTTTATCTTGATATGTGAAGTTATCAACTTGTTTTGCACTGAAGTTTTAAGGTTTATACTGTGTAGCCTAGTGCAGGGAGAAAATTAAATTTTTATATGATTTAGAAAGCTCTCTCCTGTTTTCCATCACATGGGCTTCTTTCTCCCCTATCTAATAAGAATACATGATCAGTCCTCAACTAATTGCAGCTGTAGGAGGTAATAAGCTCCCTGTCATAGGATGGGTGCAAATAGAGCCTTAATGACCACTTAACAGGAATAAGATTCAAGTGCTGACTGGATGACTTTTAATTTTTCTTTCAACCTTGGTAATCTTTGAAGTTATCATTTTGTACATTTTATTTTTCATTCAGTAAACCATATGAGTACTTACTTTGATCCAGATACTATGCTAAGTGCTATGGTTAAAGAATGAAAACATGGTCCTTACCCTTGAGGCATTTATAGCTTTGAAGAAGATACAGCTAGGTAAGCAGGCAAATAAAGAACAGTGATTGAGGGAGCTTGGCAACTGTGGGAATACCCAACCCAATCTGTCCCAGAAGGACTGGGGAAGGCTTTCTGGAGAAGATGGTATTTTAGTGGCATCTGGAAGTAGGAGTTAGCTGGAGCAGACAGGAAGGAAGGGTATTCCAAACTGAGGGACTTTTCAAAGACTTGAAAGAGGATGGTGTGGTAGGAAACACATTTCCTTCCAATGAAGCATTTGAGGGGTATGTGGGAGGGGCCACAGTTGGCGATAATGTAGCTGATAATGTGGTTAATAATGGTCAGGTTATGAAGGTCAAGTTAAATGCCAAGTTAAGAACCTTAATGGATGGGCAATAGAAAGCCATTGAAGGGTTTTAAGCAGAAACAGAATATAATCAGATTTTCACTTTAGAGATCAGGGGAGAGGAAGGACTAGAAAGTAGACCTGTTAGGAAAGTGTTGCAGTAAACTTGTTAGGAAAAGTTGAAGACAGTGATGATATATGGAGAGGAAGGGATGGATCTGAGTTCAAGTTAGGAAAATTCGTCTCCAGTTAGGAGTGATCAGTTCATTGATAATGTGTCCTGGGCAAGAGTACATCCTTATGATAAAATTCTATCTGCACAAAAACATTAAGACTTGAATCTAGATTTTGTATTCAAGGATTGGGTCAGGATGGCAAACCTGAAGTGTTCCCTTTATAAGCTGGAAACTCAGCAAGGTGTTGGGAAGAAGTTAAACCTCTGGATTCCATTCCCAGCTTTGCCACATAGCAGCTTTATGCCTTGGGCAATCACTTCATTTCCTGGGCCCCAATTTCCTCACCTAGAAAACAGACACAACCCATTACCTTGGAAGGGTGTTTGTGAGGTTGGAGTAAGCTAATGCTGCTGAGCGGGTGGCATCCTTGTTGCTTGGTCTGCTCCAGCTGCTGGGGCAGGAGATGTGTGTCCTGTTGCAAAAAACGTAGCCACTGCCATAGAGTTGGATCCGACTCATAGCGACCCCTCCTTGGGTTTCCGAGGCATTATCACTATGGAAGTAGATTGCCCACCCTTCCTTCTGGGGAGTAGCTGGTGGGTTTGAACCACCAGCCTTTTGTTAGTAGTCAAATGCTTTAGGCACTACGCTACCAGAGCCCCCCCATAAATATAGGCTGTGATGACTAACTTGTAAGGATCTATCAATTATTAAAAATCAAATTAATTGTCTCAGCCAAGCACAAATATCCTTAACAAAGACTCTTTTTCCAGCAGACCAACCAATCTAATCAACAGGCAAAAGCACAGATATTTAATTAGATTTTTGATGAAAAATTGTGTTTAATTTCAAGTATAATCAATTATTAATTACTGTAATGAGTGAGTCTGACTGGGTTTACTAATTAACTCATTTAAAAATTATGAATAACCTTTTCATTTGTAATTATTTTCTACATCCTATCAAGTTCCAGATAAGAATTGTATTGCCTCACCAGCAGAGGGGGAGGCAAAAAGAGAGGATTGAAAAGTATTTTTCTTTTGCCAGTATCTGCTCAGGGCTGCCATATCTGAATGGTAACCAGGACAAACCTATTTGAAGTTTCTTAGTTGATAAGTTTCTTGAGAAAAGAGCAACCAGAGACCTTTCATTTGCAGAGACATTTGCAGCTATTTTCATAGGAAGACAGAGAAATTGGAGTTAGTAGTTACCACCCACAAAGGCTGCAGGGTCTCAGGCCTTGCCTTCAGGCCATCTCCTCTTCCACTGGTAGGGTTACTTGTCTCTTCTGGCCCAGGATGGGAATCCTAAGGAGGAATACAGTCATGCAGCTTGTAGGATCTCTTCAGAGGAAAAAGACACATTTTTTGTCTCCAAATGGCACCCGCTCCAAAAGGCAGCCACTGAGGATGAGTGTATGTTGCTTCATTTACCTCTTCTCTGTATTATGAAATTTTGGGGCCATGCTCTTCGCCACTATGCTATAGGTCCTGGGCTTAAACGGATGATACAGAATCAGAAGATCCCACTTCAGGCCATAGACCACTTGCTGACAGTGTGAACTTGTGCAAGTAAGTTAACTTCTTTGAGCCTCAGTTTCTACTTTCCTTATGGTCCTTGTAATGGATGTGGTTGGAATGATTAACCCCATTTTATAGGATAAAAAAACTGAAAACGATAGTATCATGATTGAAAGTATGGGTTCTGAAATTAAGCTGCCTGCTTTCAAATCTCAATCCTGCTGCCTTCAAGCTTTGGATGTTAGCCAAGTTTATTCAACCTTTTAAAGCTGCGGTTTCCTCTTCTGGAAAATGAGGATAATAATGGCTACATCACAGGGTTGTTGTGAGGTTCCAGTAATATAATTTGCAATCAGCCCCTAGCCCACTGTCTGGCACAGAGTAAGCACTTAATAAAAATGAGATACTATCACAATTAATAGTGTTATTAGTATTAGCATCACATGTAAGGAAGTATTAGTAGCTTTCAAGTAGAACCTGGACCAGGCTTGTCTCACAGCACCACCTGTGGGCTTCCCAAGCTTTGTTAATCACACAAGGGCAGCTCACAGAACAACCAGGGGAATCTGTCAGAAAACATTTGTAGGAATGTCTTACTGTTTTGGGGAAGCAGACACAAAAAGAATCAG